CCTCAAGTCCCGACTCGCAGATGCTGCCCACCCCATATCTTCACGACTCTCCAAGACAGGCACCGACAAACCCATGGAAACCGCCCCCTAATATTGAACCGTCTCAAAATGACAACAACTCGATTAATAGCTACCGGCATAACTCTGACTCAAGCCGTTATAATACCTACCACCGATCTCGAAATGACTATTCTCTACCCCATAACAATCATATTCCGGGGATGATATAGTGATGACCAAATGTACCCACCCTTGACCTGCGTATGAATTGACCATGCTTCGTCCCTCCCTATACTTTCCATTGTCGATATTTGATATTTTTACCTGTTTTTCCCTCATTTTATTCTACTTCTCTGTCCAGCCATGATTTTTTTTTTCTTTTTTGACTTGTATTACTCACATATACCTCCTCTCATTTGTTTACCATTATATCCAACTTGCTCCTCTTTCCTATGTTGCATTCGCTTCAGATACCCAATACCAAGTTGCACCCATGAATTTCTTGATCATTTGGCTACAGTATTTCCTAATTATGGGCGAGTCTGAGACCTACCTATCTACATTTCCATTCTTTCTTTGGCTGGAATTCCTAGATATACCAGGCTAGCTCCGTGGTTCAAATAGTGGTGAAGCTAATATAAATTCCTTGCTCTCAACATACCTTATTATATAAACTGCATATTTTTCGCCGTAGATCTAAAGGCCAGTTCCTGGAATAATGTTTGCATTGCATTCATACGTGAAGTAGCTGGTGAATCCCTGTCATGCTCTTGTCTACGTACGGAAATTTTGTTATCCTCGACCAACATGCAAACAATGCAAACATAACTAGTGATAGCATTCCCTTCATCTCGAATATCAAATCGCAACCTTGGGCGTCTCAACAACAACGAGCTCGTCTGACAATATATCAGATGCCTCGACTAAACAGCGTATTCCCGATCTCATGAGTTCTCAAATCACCCCCGCCGCGGCCACTGGCCCAGCGTCGCAGCCTGAAGCCAAAATTACCGTCCTATCCCACCCCCCTATCCGCATACTCGCCAACCCAACTGCGCAGGCATACTCGCATCTCCATCCGATCCTAATAGGGTCTATATTCGCTCTTCGATTCAATGCCCTGGTATCTGATCCAGTTACGACCCTGTCCACTCTTTTACCGGTATTCGCGGTGCTGCAGATAATATACGTCATTATATGTTTACCTGCTGCGGGCGCAGCTCTCGGAAGCTCAAATAAGGCGCGTTCCAGTGGGAAGATCGGGGCAGGGTCCAAGCGGAAAGACCAAGAGGCTTCAATTGGCTCCAAGGTTGTTGTAAGTAACCTCCTATAATGCTATTCCATGGAGACTTTTCGTCCATCCAGTATTGCCGGAATTGTCGTTAATTGTATGTGTGTAGCCTGCCATCCTTTCTCTGAGTCTTCCACTGGTCCTGGGGACTCCAGCCCTCTCTATCCTTCTCATTTTGTTCGGTGCCCCTTTCACAACCCATTTACCGCATACTGCTCTATGTGCCGCTCATATGTCGATTCTTGGGGGTACTGGCCTGGTCTACGTCCATGGGACAGATGTGGCTGTTTGGCGTGAAATATGGAGTATATCCAAGGCGTTTGATGCCGTATGGGGTGGTACTATCGGTATGGCACTGGGCGCATGGCTAGGTGCCGTACCTATTCCGTTAGATTGGTAAGGACACAACTTACACCCTTGCCGTTTTACATCCACAGGACGGTTAGAATATGCAAATTAATACTAATGTATTCGCGGTTAGGGATCGCCCATGGCAAACCTATCCAATTACGATTATCACCGGAGCTTGTATCGGATATGTCCTCGGTTGCTGGGCTGGGAGATTGCCTTTTCTATATGGGAAAAGAATACAGTTTAGTGAGGAGGAAGTAGAAGAAGCAACTCCGGAAAAGAAGGCTGTATAACTAGATGATTTTACTGAGATAGAATCTTACTTAGGTTTGTGGTTGTTGCTTCTTGTACATGTGATTCACTCAGGCATATTTTTAATTGCTAATATTCATAGAATAACGGTACGGTGTAATAGATAACAGTTTTTATACCACTAAGCATATTTGATGAATCAGGAGTAACTAAACCGAATTAACGGGCATTAAAATACTCTAACCGCTCTTGGCTTTCTTCATAATATTGTCAACGATCTTCCCAATCGCCCAAATCTTCTCTTCTTCATGCTTTCGGCCAATAAGTTGCATCCCCACCGGGGTCCTGTTGAACAATTCAGGGTCATCTAATCATACAACAGTTAGCAACGGTGTATACCTTGTGATTCAACTCGTGGGTTAATATGAATTCATACATAGCTCCCAGTTTGCTTTGTCAAGTTCGCTAATAGGTTCATAGTCAGGGTCCGCAACATCGACATTCTTATCCGCCTTAGTAACTGGAACTACGGAAGCACTGTAATCCAAAAGGTTGATGACCTCGGTGTATGCTGGAGATTGAAGAAATTGAGTATCATGCCGTGTTAAAATTAAGTGAAGAATCTTACCTGTATGGTAATATTTGGTTGGAATCACCGCTGCCCACGGTGCCAATGGAGCAATAACAGCGTCAACAATTTGCCCTATGAACGTTTATGCCAGGTGAGTATACCAGATGAACAAAATTAATGAATAGTCCAGTGGATGCATCACTCACCGTCATCTTGGGCAGTCGAGTTCCAATAATCAGCGTACGCTTCGGCATATTCGATGCCTTGGAGAATCAGATCCTGATACTCCAAAAGAGGTAATGGCTCTTTGCCCTCAACAAAGATCTTAATCTGGGGAATGGGTGGCTCCCCAGACAGGCTAAGTTGCTTCTTGATGTCATTACCGCCGTCTGCTGACATGAACTCCAGCTATTATGCTCCTTTATTAGTGAAAGAGCTAACCACGAGTCAATTGTGAGAACTTACGTGAATTCTAATGGCAGTGCTATGCGGCGGTGGGTTCCAAGAGACAACCTTATGTCCAGCCTTTTTGAGTGCATCTTCGAGGGCATGAAGCCCTCTTGTGACCGGAGGATGGGGGGTTACTATATTATCTGTATAAAGGATACCAAACTTGAGTGATTTCTGATCACTCTTTGCAGAACCATCTGGAGCGACCCTGGCAAGAGTTTCGGCTACAATCTCGTCTCTCCATGGGACACTGAAAACGACTGGATCCCGGAGCCACGGTTGGGTGGAAAGCATGGATTTCATCATTAACTGGATGGAATCGTGAGACGTTGATAAAACTCCAATGGAGGAAGAATACGTGTTTTGCCCAGGGTTCTATTCATGGAGAGTTAACCTTTGGAGATTATGGTCCGGTTCAACACCTCACATATCAAACTTACGGTGTTGGCGACATCTCTGTATGGAAGCCGGTCATGAGTGGGTTTCAGTCCATAGACACCACAAAACCCAGCAGGAACTCGAACAGATCCTCCTATGCCAGCGGTGATCAGTTCACTAAGTTTTCACATAGAACTGATAAAGGGTATCTATTTCATACCAAGGTCAGTTCCAAGCCCAGCAGAGCTAGCTCCAAGGGCAAGCATCACTCCCTCTCCTAATTGGAATGCGTGTTAGCCTACGAAAAATCGATATGAAAGCCGCCTGAGCATACCTCCTGATGAACCACCACACGAGAGGTTGTTGTTCCATGGGTTTAGTACACGGCCGATGATATGGTTCTCAGTTTCCCCGATCTATGCAATAGATCAGTCAACAGAGACGCCTTTAACGATACCAGATAGTCGGTGAACATACTAGAAGTGATTGTGGGACGCTTGTCTACAAGAAAAATTAGCTTATCAGGACATATGGGAGGGTATGTTCCTGTATACCTTGCAGTATAGCACAGCTCCAAGTGAAAGAAGATCCGTGACAATCGGGCTATCGAAGTTATGCACCTTATGAGAGCCTTTGTCTCCCTCGAATGTATCGATCCAGCCAACATAGCCCATGGTTGTATCATTTCCTTTTACATGGAATTGGTCTTTGAGACTTATGGGCAGCCCGTGTAGTGGTCCCATGGTCTTCCCATGCTTCTCCACATATTCATCCAGATACTTTGCTCTCTCAAGTGCCTGGTCAAAGAACACTTCATGGAGACATGAGGTCTATAACATTATCAGGGTTGAGCGTAAACACACTAGAGAATCACGATATATACTCACCATCTGGTGGGCAACGGCAGCAGCCTTGCAGTACGCTTTTGCGACTTTAAGAGCAGAGTACTCCTTGCTCTTGATCTTGCTCACGATCTCGGTGCTCTCTTCGCCGGTAATCTTCCTCTCCTCGTCGGTAAGAAAGCCCTGGAAATATGCACCGGCAAGCTGTCTCTGGGCTTTTGCATCATTGATCTGCTCTTCGGTGAGACGCCATTCCTCCGGGATCTTTGCCACAGTCACTGCTCGTTTGACTGCCGCTTTCTCCTCCCATGCCTCTGGTTCTTTCACCATGATGTTAGATGTTGTAATTTGGTGGTTAGAGAGTTCGTCCAACTACGGCTGTCGGCCCTTGTATGCACTGATATTCACCCATGTGATGCTAGGAGCCGGGAGCTTTTATAATACCCGACAAGGCCGAGGGGTAATACCCAGTAGCAGAGTGGGACGAACGCCGTCGACAGGGAAGATATGCATAATCAGTAATCCTGGCAATGGATATTGCGTATAGCTAACTATTAGTACGAGAGGTAACTAGTGACGATGAGAGTGTCGTCTTTCAAGCATCACGCAATAAATGCACACGACAAGCGTAAGCTTCTTACATTGAGACACTCAAAAGGATAGCTAGGCATAGATCTCACACCCATAATCGGTACGTATTAATGAGCTAACTATTACATCCAGGTCCATATCCTATAATAACGGCAATATTAATAGTAGACTTGTTATAGTTGGCTTACGAGTGGCTCATGACGTATTCAGCGTGATATGATATTACGGCGTTATTTTGATATTTAACCAATTAGACACGAACGCTGGAGAAGATTTACTTGGTCATGTCGACGACGCATCGGATGCAGTCTCCAGCCTTCATCTCGTCGAAGGCAGTGTTGATTCTGGGCAGATTCTCACGGTGAGTGATGAATTCGTCAACCTTCAGCTTGCCATTGAGGTAGTCATCAACGAGGCCGGGAAGTTGAGTGCGCCCTTTAATTCCTCCAAAGGCGCACCCTTTCCACACACGTCCAGTGACGAGTTGGAATGCTATTGGGAGTACGTTAGTATGATAATGTTGTGTATATGCTGATAGTCAATGGGTAACTTACGTCGAGTAGAAATCTCCTGTCCAGCAGCTGCGACACCAATAATGATGCTCTCGCCCCATCCCTTGTGGCAAGCCTCGAGGGCGGCTCGCATGACACCTACATTGCCAGTGCAGTCAAAGGTATAGTCACAGCCACCATCGGTGGTTTCAATCAGGTATTCCTGGATTGACTTGTTTCCTAGCTTGGAGGGGTTGACAAACTCAGTGGCGCCGAATTTGCGTGCCCATTCTTCCTTGGTGTCGTTCACATCAACTGCAATGATTCTACCAGCTTTGTTCTGGACAGCTCCCTGAATAACAGAGAGACCAACACATCCAGCACCGAATACAGCAACGTTCGAGCCTTCTTCCACCTTGGCAGTGACTGTTGCGGCTCCATAGCCGGTGGTAATGCCACATCCCAGAAGACAGGCCCTATCTAGCCCAATCTTGTCTGTGATAGCAACAACTGATATATCGGCCACAACAGTGTATTGAGAGAAAGTAGACGTTCCCATGAAGTGCAGCAGATCCTTTCCACGGGCCCTGAAGCGGGTAGTACCATCTGGCATAACACCACGGCCCTGGGTGGCTCGGATCTTTCCGCAAAGGTTCGTCTTGCCTGATTTGCAGAATTTACACTCTCTGCATTCGGGCGTGCTGTATCGTGGGAATAAATGATTAGCTCTTCAATCCTCCATGTAGAATGTCGGTGTTAAACGGAGGATTGGCGTACTATAGCGCGATGACCCTATCGCCGGGTTTCACGGAGGTGACGCCCTCACCAATTGACTCAACAATACCAGCACCCTCATGGCCAAGGACGATGGGGAATGCGCCCTCTGGGTCTTTTCCAGAAAGTGTGTACGCATCTTGAATATGCTGTCAGCTCGCCTAATCCTTTACCAATGCCCTAGCTTGAAATAGTTATCTATTCCTCATCCAGCCCCAGGAAGACGCACCAGTATGGCAAACCCCCGTATAATGAATCTGAATACGGACTTCGTGGGCCTTTGGAGGATCTACCTCGATCTCTTCGATGGTCAACTCCTTTCCAGCCTCCCAGGCAACGGCAGCCTATTCCCGCAAGGTTGTCTTAGCGAAGCATTCTCGTAACCAATCTTTATTGTCGGTCCCTATGGGCTCCAATGTTTGCGGGTTTCCCCATAAGGGCGATAACATCCACTCCTACTCCGATCATTGTATTGGGGGTTCGGTCGTGCGGCTTACTTGACATTTGATGGTCTGTGAAGCGGCAATTAGTTCTGGGTCTCCATCAACAGAGGACGCCAAAGAAACATAAGGAGACACTAGAGTATTAGACTTACCTTTCCAACAGTGCTCGCCATTTTTGCTCAATGTGCCTTGTTTGATGCAAAAAAAAAATAAGTAAATATACATTCTGAGTGTATTGCAGCCGGCGAATTGCCGGAGACGGCTCCCGACGACCAGTCTGCATGAGACTCGGGATTGCAGCCAGAAGCCAGAGTTAAAACTCACCTATGAACCTTGTCTAGAGCCGATATCCAGTGTTTAAAAAACAACAGAGCGCTGGCCTGATAGCTGAATATTCGGTGCAGAGTTGCTTGTTCTTCGGCTTGGATGTTTGTTTATATGAGGGGCAGCAAGTTTTGTAGTAAATTAGTTAGGGTGGGGAGTTTCGCCTCGTCATTTCGCCTCCAACCTTGGAACCCGGGGCGGAAGCTGGGGAAACAATTCAGCCGCCGGGCACAGAAATTGATAGATGTCACACAATCGGTCCAACGGCAACTGTTGGCACTTATTTTGTTGAGTAGAAGCCGCAGGTTTTGACCTAAATTTAGTGAAGTTAAATGTACTGCGTACTTGCAAGGGAAATGGACCGTGGAGGTAGAATAAACGCCGTGAATGCCGTCCTGGTGTATCATTGTAGAATGTTGAAGGATATGCAATATTGTACAGGAGACGAGCCGCCGTCGCCTTTCCAGACAGCTCGAATCAGTCATAACAAAATAATAGCAAGAAACATGAGGAGCGTATATAGTAACAGCCACCAAAATCTTCACATATACCCAATATCCGATATCCAAAAGACTGGAACCGTCGTTTTGACAGTAGACGTAAGAGAGCGGTTGACCATCAAAGGCAGTATCAAAAGTGGTTCAGGTGAATATTCGCATTCAATTTCTGGGGGTGAAATCGCCCTCGAGGGAAAGACTATGCGGGCTTCCGCTGGGTTCTGCTTCCATCGGCGAGGACTAAGAAACTGCCGGTCATAATCGAACAAGGGAGGATAAATCGAGATTCGGGGAAGCAAGAAGAGGTATCGATTCAATTCGTTTAGCCCCTTCCGGGAATCGTGCCGGACTGGGCCATAGCAGCATTTTGCTCCTGGAAACGGAGGGTCACTCGCTCAGATGCCTTGACGAACTTGTCAAAGCAGCGATTGGTGCAGCCGACCTCTCTTGGGGTCAATGATTTAGTTGTGAAATCAAAGATGCAGTCCTCGAAGCAACGCTGGACGACGTTTGAGTATGCCTGGGTACCAGTTTCAGGTCAGCTTTTGCCATTATATTATTGAACCTTGAATCAAACAGAACAAAGGCCGTGACAGATATAGCAATTAATCCTCAACATACGTTCATGACCTCCTTCATCTGCTTCTGCTCCATGCGTTTCGAGAGCATCTGCTGCTCATTTTGGGTAAGGCTATTTCGTTGCAAACACAGCGATTGTCAGTAAATCTTCAGCCAAGGTTGATCAAGGGCGGACATAGGTGCTCCAGGGGTAGCATACGAGTCCATGATGGTTTGCGCGTGTATTGCAGCTGTTCAATTACTTGGTGTTGAGTGTTGATGATGTTTTGCTTGCTCGACTTTCAACTCTGAAGCTTCAACTTTTTTTTCTTGCCTGGTTCCCAACAGGGTTTAGCGTCACCAGATCGAGCTAGCGCCATCCTCTTCGACTAGAACACAGAAAAAGCAGCGATGATCGATTGATTATTCTAGCTACATATATGCAGTACAGGAATGGAGAGTTATGACTACTTGGACTGGCCGAACTTCCCTAGGCCCTCCATTAGCCAGGGATCGAACATAAGCTCCCCCGCAGTTGGCCGTTCTTCCGGGAGCCAGCGTAAGATTCGGCGGAGGAAGCTGAGAAAACCTGCCACATCTTCGCCTTCTATACCATCCGCAAGAGTCTCAAGGGAGATGTCAGGAATCGGCGTGAGCCCTCTCCATTGACCTTGGAATGTGTTAGTTAAAGCATGTAATAAAGGGTGAAGGGTCAATTACCATTTTCGTCCCAATATATGAGGCTCGTTTGACTGCGCTCCAAGAACTCCTTCGGTGGCGGACCCATGATTGCAATCATCTCTGCAAGATGAAGCCTATCATCCAACAATTTCTCATCATTTCTAGCCTTGAAGATGGTGTGGCCTTTCACAATATCCCAAGACTATTGAGAATATAGTTTGTCAATTTTTACCTGGAAAGAAAATGATATACGATTGGTTTGCTTCTGACTTACCACCATAGCAACGCTCCATATATCCACCCAAATATCCCACTCACTTCTGAGAATTATTTCCGGAGCTCTGTATACATCGGGCATGATATCCTCGCCAATATGGGCTTCATCCCGAAGCCTAACTTCACCAAAGTCGGTAATAATTGGCAATCGACTCGAGAAAGGAACTCGCCTGCTCACGTATATCGTACGATCCTCTAGAACCTTACGAGGGCATGGCTGATATTCAGTCTCAGCCTCTTCAAAGACGGAAAAGACTGATGTGTCGTCAATTCCAAGTAGCAAATTTCTAGTCTGAAGATCTATTTTTATAACCGTCAGTAAGCCAGATAGTAGGCTTTTGCGAGTCAGGAGCAGCTTACCGGTATGTATAATGTCAAGACGGTGCAGATAATCCAGACCTGCTAAGATTTGACGCAGAGGGGGCTTAAGTAATTCCAGGTCGAAAGTGTTGTTAGGCCTCATTTCAAGCACTTGATCCAAATTTAACCCCAATGGCTCCAGAACCAAGCAATCATGCGAACCACACGGCCCATCAACCGTAAATGAACTGTAGAGTTTACGGTAAAAGGCCTTCCCAACATGATCAACTTGATGCTCTGAGTCTTTTATATGCTTATAAATTTCGAGCTCGCGATTCGGCTCCCGCGAGGAAACACATAACTTGAGTACGACATGGCGAGACTCTCTATCTAGCCAGTCAAAATGGAGAAAAATAAAGAGGAGAATAATAGCATAAGTCATATGATACTTTATAAAAGACTAAAACCACCTACTGGAAATCACGAGCCAGCCAAGCAGTCGAGGAGCCACCATATCCAACCTTCCCAACAACTTGATACCTGTCTTGAAATATTTGGCCTAAACGAACAGGATAGTATCTCGCAGGGCTATAAGCTGGGAGAGTCTCCTCCTCTATCATTCTTGCCGCATCGACCCGCTCAAAACCATCTGGGGGAAACTGGAGGGGAGTTTGAAAACTAGACGATATCATGCGACGGTTCAGGGGGGATGGTTTGAAATGCGAAAGCGAGCTATGTACGGTACATCTCCGCCAGAGCGGGCGGGTACATCGCTGGGGGCAAAAATATAGCAGTCTCATTAGGAAAGGGTTTTCCACGTGCGACGATGCCACAAGAATCGCTGGAGAAGTCAAGGCTTTGGCTGTGGTGGATGCTGTTCGCGACATGAAATTAAGCGCCAAGCTTTTGCAGAGCCCCATGTTCGAACTAGCTAACTTTATTAGGTTAGACAACCTTAACTCGTTACTTAAAATAGTTACTTACGCGCCTACAAGGTTTCGCGTTGATCGAGGCAATCATCTTGTAGTCTTCACCCTTTGAGGGCGTTCTTGCGATTCATGCAGCATAAGCAGGTGAGCTGAAGGAGACAGGGGCAGAAAAAGGCTCGCTTCTCTGCTGATAGTTTTGGTATAACTTTAACTAATGCTTCCAGCTAGCTCACGTACCTATTAATATTCCATATCTCTCCAATCGGAGTATTACGCCGTGAATGCATGAAAAATTCCGCATTGAATAATTTCAGCGCATCAAACTGCTAGGCAACAGGCTTAAATTACGCGCTGGAGACTCCATGTCACGGGTTTCTGCTTATTTGTATGGGTAAGAGCAGCATAGAGTACCCTGTCTTGTTGGATTCTGCGAACTGTGCCATGTATCAGGAGACTTGTGACCAACGATGATCCATGTTATTGGCATGGAGCATAAATAGCTAGCTATGACTGACCAAATGGATGTGATAATAATGAGAAATGTTGTTGCAAATGAAACGACAAGTTTCATTTAGCACCAGCAGATGCTTTGGGCGCTTAGCCAGTAAGACTATGAAGGCTGGTTGATGTTGCGGCTGATGAAAACTGCCTTCCGAACAACCATTACATGGTCTTTGAAAGGCCCTGCGAAGGCTATATAAGAGGAGTAAACCTCGACGGTATCCGTTAAGTTAAACCCATCATCATCATAATCATCATCATCTCTTGGTCCATAAAATCAGACATTCGCTTCGTCACAGAGCCCTAGTTCCATCTTTCATACAAACGCCCAGCAGACCATGACATTCCGGAACCTGTACCTCGTCACCTTCTATGCACCTTCAGACAAGTGGAAACACTTAGCAATATTTGTCTTCAACACCAGTGACTCGAAGAAAGGCACGCTCATGCATGTCATCGGAAATCCACAGACTGGGTATACCCTCCAGTTTCAACGAAACTATGATCCCACAGCGAATGGATCATTCCAAAAGATCATTCTGATCGGAAAAATAGCCGCAAATTACGTTGCGGATCCGAAGAGTTCGCAGCCATCCAATGACAATGTTCCCAGGGGCCAGTTGGAAATCATCGCAAGCCGTATCCCTCCGCCAACTGTTGGGAATTATATGGCTCCGTTTAAAGGGGTATGCAGGTCTCAAGGTCTAAGCGCTCACTCAATCATTTTTTTTACTAACAATTCACGAATTAGGTTATCAGGAGATGTCAGGAGTGGACAATGGATTTCGTCACGGAGCTCGTTATCGGGGGGTATCTTGACAGTCAGGCTCGAACGATTTTGAGAGAGCACAAAGATCCTACCGAGTATGTGTATGGTGCAGAGCTGCACGCTGTGGCAAAACGAGTTTACGGTTCGTTGAGGAAAAATGGAGCATATTCTGGGGGAGCAGCCCAAGCGTACAACCGTGGTCACTAAGGAAGGATTATCTAGTCATTAGTTCTCATATGGGCGGCTACTTGATCTAACGGGCAATTGGTATATGAACTTATACATATACGATTAATAAAGGACCATTACCCATTAAGTTCTGATTATTCACCACTTCACCTTTATGTATATTTCTTTTGCGTCCATATGCCACCTGTTCGCCGTTGGAAACATTAAAATATCTGACATTTAACCTCCCGGGTCGTCAACCGAGGCAAAGCAGAGCAGGCAAGAGGAGGCAGTGCAGGCATATCACAGGGGATTGGAGCAATCAGACATTTATCCAACATGTAACGACCTTGGCTGCGTCTGTGGTGAGATGTAACTAATAAAAGCAAGACATCTTCCCGGATATCTACCTGGACACTTCTGCTTCTCAACTAGTTATTTAATGGCTGTGTACGCAGTACTTTTAAGATGATACCATCACCACTTATCTATCCCATCAACATAATCTTAATGCTAACTAACCGTCGCATAACTTTACAATGAAACGGTCCAACACGACTTCGATAACCTCCTTCACTCTTCCAGATCAACAAGGACAGGTGGCTGCTATCTTCGATTTTTCTGAAGATGGTGACTCAATTCTCATCACGACTCCTAAAAAGAGCAGCTGGGAGTACTGGAAACATTGGCTTAACCCACATTCCTCCATCTGCGACGAGATTACGTGCTTAGCTGGTGTTGCCGTCATTAAAGTCTACTATCCTGATGATCCTCTTTCTTCTAGAGGAGGGGAACTTCGCAGCGGGGAAAGTATATCGTTTGGTCCTGGTGCTTCTTCTACTTGGTTCCGAGATTCTCATTACAATCAGGAGGACCTTATCGTTAGCCTAAAGGGGGATAAATCTTTCCACAGGAATATTTGCAGCGCTATTATCGACCGAGACCGTATGGCTTTTCTCTCCTCAACGCCGTTTTTGCTACGCCAATTGTTATCTCTTCTCGGTCTATTCCAATTTTCACGTCCGTTCCGCGAATGGATACTTGACCTAATGCTTGCTATTCAACTAAGAGCAATTTTCTATTCTAACGGTTTTTGGATATATCATCCGACAATTCCGTTCTTTTGGTGGTGGGAATGGCGACAAATATGGGGAGAACCCCGCGTACCGGAATGGGCATACCGGTTTAAGTGGCAAATGCAAATGGTAATCACGTATACTGTTCAAGGAATATGTTACTGGGTTGGAAGGATTTTCCTCGGGATGAAGGGCAGCTACTCAGAATATACCCTTTAGCCGAGGGGGGGGGGGGGGGGGGTGGGTTTGGATATGTTGTCAGAGGAATGAGGAGCGGTGCAAGGTACATTGTAATTCTCAGATTTAACGATAAGGCAGATGGTGATGGTAATGTTGGCAAGCCGTTGGAATTCAGTAGCTAAAAAGGAGAAAAGACCTAGGAGGAAGGCTGGGGACCTCAAAGGTGCAACAGAAGTGGTTTATAGCCAGGGGCCTTATTTTATAACCTTATATCCTTTCTGCCTCATTGTGGGACCCAGAGTAGTAGATACCAAGCACCAATATGTTTTGCTTATGCTAGGCTACCGTGGTTTTAAGTTTCGAAGCAAAAACTCGTAACGACTGTGGCCACCCCCCGTCTCCCGGCGGCCCTGATGGCATGGTCAAGTGCCTCAGTCTCGATCCGGGATATCTGTGCTTTGTTCGGTTGGAGAGCAATAATTCCCTGGTCGGAAACTTCAAAGAGAGCCTCTAGAAGCCATGTGCGGCACGTATGACCTTCTATTGGAACCTCGCCAATCCTTGTGTGGAATTCTTCGTGAAACTTGCGCTCATAGTCTGTAAGTCTTGATACCTTGACGGCTGTCAAGAATCTTGTCGAGTTCAACAAATGCGGATGAAGGAATCGGCTAAGATAGAAACCATCTCCGTCATTAGTGTTGTGGTAGACCATACCAGTCCGATTGGTAGTTGCAACGACTAGGGCCCAGTGATAGGTTCCATCCTTTTCCAGACGAAACAGGGTAATGTAGAGCACCCCTGGCTCCAGCTCAAGAGAGGGATTGTGTGTCCGGTCTCCGTTTGTGATTGTTGATGGATTTGGAATGCCACCATCGCGGGAGGATATCGCGCAAATATACGAGTTCAATCAAGTATATGAAAAAAGGGTGCAGCTGTATAGTCCGGCGCAAGATTCTGGGAAACGGAAGGCTGTGTTTCTGACTCGATGGGATTCCAACAATATAGACATGATGCCGGAAATTTGGACTGCTCAGCTTTATATAGCCTCATAATCATCCATTGCACCAGAATCATATTTCTACCTTAAAAACGTGCATCTCATCTTGTGTAGTTTTCTTCCGTAACAAAGTCAGGTCTTTCTATGATGAGAGCCAATCCAGCCATCTAGAGTGCATGGAAATCACAGGCTGGGAAGACCGGGATCTACGTTTGGGTGCACCAACCAGTGTTTTGATTAGCGCCTGCAAGCAGTAGGTTCCCCGTAGACTAGGAGAAGGTTTCATATGACCCATACATCCAGTATCGCCATTGGAACCGCAGGGTATAGCAACCTGATCTACTGACAGACCTAGTGACAAAAAGTGTTTCAATGTAAGCTTGCCTGTGACATCTGTATTCAAGATGCAACCAAAAAATGGCCAAAATCAACTGGTGGAGAGACAGGGGTATTCGACTGTCCGTCAATCGCCGTCCCCTGATTATGATTAGACCTTAATCCTTTATAGAGTGGCATGCAGGGAAATGTGGGCCGGCGTAACATCTCATGGATATATTCGGTGGGCCGGGCTCTAGTTACCAATTAATTAACAAGCATTTGTCGCCAAAGCATTAGTTTTGCCAGCTAGTGCAGTCTATGCATAGTATGCTCCGAGTGCAGGGAGGATTTGGTGGATGCAACTGGATATCCCTCCCCTAGCTTCGGCGCGTATATCCCTACTGACTAATTCAATGGCACGAACAATTTCCATTGGTGAGTGAGTGCTGGTGTGTGAGCTGGCTGATAAGCCCCTTCAATGCTCAGGTGAGGTCCACTGCCTGTTCGTCCTGCGGGTCGGGTCGGGCCGGGCGGCTGAAAGGTTTCGGATAAAAGATGTTACAGTTCCAGCCGCCAGGCCCGACATCACGTGGATCCGTCCAAATATTAAGGTTAGGCCCGACATAACTAAACACTAACTAACGAGATAGAAGCTGCGTCAACGTCAACTCTTGCTTCAGGAGAACACGAATCATATTTTGGTCATGGAGGAAGCGTTGGCTAGACATGATCGCTTTGGAGAGGACTTCAGCAAGGTATTCACTATAATAAACTCTGCGGATATCCCTGCGGTTGAGAATAGCGCCTTATATTTATTCGTAGGCACTTCAAGAGCTCCCGATGAGGCGTCGAAGTATGTTCGCGATCGGGTCGCCCAGAACGTTCAGTCTAGTACTTTGGAGGAGACTCTTCATTCAATACACGAGGAGTTGAAGATTATATCAAAGAAGAGTAAGAGAGATATCTTAGAACTGAATTTGATCATGGTTAACCGGTGAGAGATAGTGACCCGAGAGGATCCCATGAATTTGGACACAGAGATTGAGGCTGCGCTTTATGAGCGTGATGGCGGTCGCTGTTTCATAACCGGCCGTACCGCAGGCGTTCAGCCCATATATATCATTCCTCTATCGATTCTGGAAGACAAAGATCTACGGCCAGGGGTACGCTTGCATTTTGTTCGTTGGTTGAATACATGTTAATAATTAGTAGGGCTACCTACGTCCACTTCTCGAGGTTTCCCTGACCAAGGAAGGAACTGAACAGATGCTCAATCTACTAGGGTCGCCTGGTAGAGAGAATGTTCTCAGAAACCTCATTCTAATGGAGCCCTCGATCCGATACTCTTTTCGCCATGGATATTTTGAGATCATCAAGTCACCATACTTGGAGCCTCCATATTTACCAACGGATGCCCCAAAATCCAAGAATGGCGGAGTATTTTGAAACCAAAAATTTACATACCGGCATCTTACTAACATAAGTCTCTATAGTGGTGGCTTCAGCCCATCGTCCCTCAGTCGGAGGTACCACAAATAATACCTCGCAACAATGAACTATACAAGGTCCCGTCGACGATAAATCCTATTAGCCATCCATTGCCCGCACATCTGCTAGTAAAAACCCATGGAATTGTTAGCCACCCACTGCACACTATTTATATTGAAGAGCAAATAAAAGCAGGTTGGCCCGTTGAACCGGGTATGGCACTCATATTTTGTATTCAGCCGAGATCTTACTAATTTTAGCAACATAGAGCCCAAGGAACTGAACTAGGTTGGAAGGCTTCTCCTCCAAATCCTCCTACACCTTATACCCAACTTTGCACGCATACGGCTTTATGAATTGATTTACAAGATGGTAGATTATTGGGATCCTAGCCAAAAAGGCTCCCACGTGAAATTTCTTCCACTAGGCCTTGTTCTCAAGAAGGGCCGCGAAAATACCGAGAATGAAGCCAAAGCTCTGACAGTGGCGGAACAGTATATATCGATTAGTACACCGCGATTAATCGACTCAGTCATGGTCAATAAAACTTCGGGTTTTATCTTAATGACCAAAGTTGTTGGACGCAGTCTAAGCAGCAAACTTCATCGCATTACATGGGAAGAACTAGAACAGATAGGTAAAGACCTAGCTAACTTCATTACCGAGTTGCGACGAATACCAAATAGCTCGAAGTACCTTATTGCAGATAAATGAGGGGGCCCCATCAGCGACCACAGGTTCTTCTATCAGACTTGGGGTCCATTTAAAACAGTCTCTGGTTTCACTGACCGTCTCCTTCAAGATGTCAAAGGAGCTAGAGACAAGCCACCACTCTCTTTTTTGTACGAAAAAAAGCATAAAGTTTACTTTACCAACTCCGACATACATATGACCAATTTATTTGTCACTCGCGGGAGGTTATCAGGTGTTGTTGACTGGGAAAATGCTGGCTTTAAGCCCGAGTATTGGGAGTACATCCGGGCAATGTGGGCATATGGAGCAGATAAGCATGCAAAATGTCTATATGGCTCTGCTTTCGGTGATAAGTACAAGGAAGAGTATGAAGCAGAACGATATATTTTGCGACGCTGCTCGTGGCTGCTTTGACTGGAAAGTGATCTATATAATATAGATTGCTGTTTTGGCACGTTGCTTGCTATATGGCGAAGGAGAGAAACAAACGGTGGCAGAGGAGGTATTGAAACCACTGCAGTCTGGAATGGTTTCAGTCTAACAACCTTTTCTGGATTTTCGGGGCTCCATTTTTGAACAGCTAATTCGGCTGCGGAATGAATACCTTCCATTGGCCCAAGGCAAGATATCTCCAGGTGTCAACCCCGGTCATCTTTGTTCTACGGCCAAAACTAGCTATACAAGTGCATTTGCGCGGTGGGAGGCAGTGCCTGCAAGACCTATGCCAACCTCCCAATCAGGTCCCATCACGGCAAAGGATGCCTTTAAAGGTTAAGGTCTCTGAATATGTCTTCCTTACGGTTCGATGGCCATTTGAGACTGGCCAACCAGTTGATCAATATACCATCCGTCTCGTTTGATACTAGAGAGAATGCAAAAATCCCCGGCCACGTCAAATCAGGGTCTGCGTACCTCGGTGTGACAGGGCCAGCGGGCGCTGGTCCCAACCGCACCCCAGGGGGTTATAAAGTCATCCTGGAAATGGCGCACGATGACGGCAATCAGCCCCGTTGCAGGGAGGTCGTAGGGAGTATTGATAGGCTCTCAGCTAGGTTAACTGGTATATGATATGATACGGCGCCCGGTATGATTTTCTCCTTACAAATGTTGAATTGTTCGTGTTCAAATGCCTGGATGACAATAGCAACCCCCAGTTTTATTTCACCAATCTTCTTCACAGCTGGTGGCACACCGACACCCCTCAGCTGACGGCTGTTATTACAGTCTGGCGCCTAGGAATGGTTCATACGATGGGACCCGGGGATGGATGATGTCAAAACAAAAGGCCCCTCGCTTACGGGCTAACACTGCAGCCAGGATTTAAGTTACACAAGGGCCAGACCTCTCTTCTAGTTAGCTATCTGTTGTTTATTAATCAATATCGGCTATGGCTAGCTTGAACTACCCACCCAATCTCCATTCTTGCAGGGCACTATACATCAGCAGGCCATGAATATACCTAATCTACTTACTCCGTACATGAGGAGACAAAAATAGAGTTTGTTCTATTCTCGCCCACAATTGATAGGCTTAAAGGTTATATATTTGTCTGGCATGCTAACTTTGCTTTTGGGAGATACCGAGAAATCTGACCTGTGTGCGACTGGCTGTGCCGCTCAAACAGGACTAGAAAACGTCACGACAACCACTCGTACATGGGTATTAACGACTGTTATAGCAAAGTGGGACTGCCTTGCGCATGAATGAGCGTGGGTGCAGTGCAAAGGGAAACAAAAAAAGTTTTGGCTGCGGGAAGGGGGAAAATAGATAGGCAGAAGGAAGAGTCGACCATTCTTCAAACTGATGACTAGATACCAGCACTGGATACGTGGATCTTCTGGAACCTTGGGAGAAATTGGTCACAGTCAATAAGGAGAACTACTCGGATATCAACACCTTCGTTTCGGAGACTTCCAAGCTAGGGTCTGACTCGTGATCGTGACCGAATCCCAGAGCAACAGAGATTATCTTGATGAACGAGTCGTGGTTGGGCAAGTGGAGCACGAACGTGACGTTGGTGCCGAATGGTTGTGAGTTGGGGATTTGGTGGCCTATTGAAGGCACGATCTCATAGTCCGAGTCGACGTTTGGGACGTGTACTTCTAGAACATGGTGATGGCCGAAATAAATCCACGTCCCCATGATTTTGCCGCCATTTCCTCCCTCACATTCAACTTGGATCCTCTTCAATTTGGCCGTCTTGCTATCCGGGTTCGTGATAGACATATAGATATGGCAGGTTTCGTGTGGTGCAAGATGGCTGATTTTGGATCCCATGCGCTCATAAGTGATGATGGACTTGCCATCACCCACAACAGCGGCTCCGCCAGCTGAAGCGTGATGGGGTAGACCGTCAGGGCAGGTAGGCATGGCTGTAACAGTAGATGGTAATTGGTATAGAGGCTGATGCTGTGAACTATCCAGGTCCAGATATGACTCAATTGATGGCAGCTCACGCACTGAGAAGCCGTTATGGTGGGGAGCGGACCCGGCATATATATTTCTCGCCCAGGGCCAGATAGGCCGTTCATGATACGGCTTTGGAGGGAGGGGCCGTAGTGGGCGCCTCAACGTTTTCTCTTTCCTCGTGCGGGAGAAATAGGTCCGCTCACGTCAACGGCAGGGAGGCCAGGGGGAACATGTCAAAGTAATGTTCCTTGACAATGTGACAGAAGGTTATGTTTTAGTGCATGCACTGGGATTATTGAAACTTTGCCAATCGTCAAGGCTACTACATGCAAAGGAACCCAACCTTCAAGCCCAAGTACCCTGGCCCGGTCACAGCCTCGAGCTGAGGACAGGACATTTGCCCGGGTTGTATTACCTTCCGATTTGGCCTGTCTACTCATCCGGTTCTTTTCGTCAGATATCCGCGGAGTCAATGGCGATCACGCGTCTTTTCAACTAGCCGTTGGATACTCGAGGAATATCCTTTTGATTCAGCCAGCCATGATAGTTGATTCTCCTTATGTTGTTTTCCATAGAACTTATCCCACAGAACCACCATTATAACTGTAACTATGGCTTTCCCTAAGAATACACCACCGGACTCCCTGATAAGGAGAAATGACGGTAGACGGTTCTGGGAGGGCAAGGATGGAAACGAAGACGAAATGATTGGAACTGGTGAGGCACAGCCGGGAATGTCAGAAGTCGACCTGCAAGGCTCTCGAGAATTTCTCGCTAAGCTGGGGATTGGAACTGGCCCGGGCTTACGAACTCTTATAGATGCCTTGGAAGGAGGTGCAGGGTATGAATAATGAAATGCTCGACTCCCTTTCGTGGCAAGCCTGGTTGCTAATTTCTATCGATTTTGTCCGATGCTGTTGTAGAATCGGGCGATTTACTCAGGGCGTCCTCTTAGACCTCGCTGAGCAGGTTGATGTGATCGAGCCAGTTGTTAAATTTACCGAAAGACTCCAGGGAAAAAGCGGTATCCGGGATATCTTCAACGTCGGCTTAGAAGAATGGGATCCGGCACAGGACATCGAGTATGATTTGATTTGGAATCAATGGTGTCTCTGCCACCTCACAGATGAGCAGTTGGTTCGGTATTTGAGGAGGTGTAATACAGCCCTCAAAGCAGGTACCGGGCTCCTTATTATTAAGGAGAATTTGAGCATCCGTGGGGTTGACGTATTCAACAGCACTGACAGCACTGTTATAAGGTGAGCAGCCGTTTGACGAGAGTTTGAAATTATGGTCTAGTTATTGATTGAGAATTCCAGGGAGGAAAGCAAGTTCTCAAGTATATTCCGGCAAGCCGGCTTACAATTAGTAAAATCACAACTTCAGCGCGGATTCCCTAGAAACCTTCTACCCGTGAAGATGTATGCGCTTAAATCAAGCGAAGTTTGAGATAATCAATATTGCAGAACTGCTATGTTGATCATAGCAATGCTGACATGAGTTAACGAGATCATCACTCGTCTTCAAAGGAGTACTCAACTCAAAAATTTGGATATCTCTTTGGTACGGGACCAGTTTGGGTGATGTGAAGGAGTTCGACCCCCAATATCTGTTGCATATTTTTCTGCTCCACAGTCTAGCATGAGCTGCAGAATCTCCAGGGTTCCAAACCATGCTGCTTCGTGGAGTGTAGTACCTTTCCAGCCAGGCCAGATACCGTACCCTCTAGCTTCAGTGTTTGCACCAGTTTCTATTAAAAATCCTATTTCGTCGTGGTTTTGTCTCATAATCGCATTGAAGAGAGACTTGTCTTTGTAATCCTGCGCCGGGTGATTTAAATGACTTATGACCACTCGGGTTGCAACATTCCACTTCTCTGCCAGAGCAAGAGCAATTTTTGTTTTCCTCTGTTGCATCGCATAGAAAAGAGCAGTCCGTGAATGCTTGTCTTTTGCGTTTTGGTCTACTTCTTTGTCTCTCAAAAGCTGTAGCACGAGCTGCTCATTATTGCTCAAAACAGCAAGATGTAGAGGTGTTCGACCGTCTGAATCTGATTCCCTCCTCATTGTGACGTCGTAATTCTGCATGGGTGACCCAGCAGCCTCCTGTTCCGAAGAGATATCACCGTCCTGCGTGAGCGGGGCGCTTGTCGCTTGCGCGGAAGCGCTAAGCTCATGGAACGGGATGATGGGCGGCGCTTGCCAACCCTCCGCCATTGGCTCGTCTATCATCCAGTTTTCTTCCACCCGCGGAGACGGGAATATCATATCTGGTTTGAATTCTAGCACAAACACCTTTCCAGCCTCAGTGCCAATGGCAACTGTCGATTCGAATACAGCACTGCAAAGTAGATTGTGTTCAGAGGGCACACGCATCAGATTTTGACCGTGGCAAGTTATCCAAGTCAAGTCAGGGCTCATACCGTAGCCATACCAGATTGTCTGTCCGGTTTTGGGCTGTAATAATGAACCGAGTGCGACTCGCCCGATTTTAGTAAGTAGATAAGAATCTGTCGGGTCGAAGGACACAGTATGAAGAAGAATTCTTGCATTGATACCAGCGATGCACTTGCCTGTGCTGGTCTCCCAGATCCTGAGAGTCTCATCAGCTGATGTCGAAGCGAGGAGCTTGCCGCTATGTGAAAAGGCGACGGCATTGACCGAGTCCTTATGACCATGGAGAACGCGGGCGCAGACACCCGTACGGACATGCCAGATTCTGACTGTCTTATCTGTTGACGTTGATGCAATGAACTGGCTGTCGTCCGAAAAGACTGCTGAATTAACCCAACCATCGTGGCCATTCAATACCCATACGCATTCTACTTCTGCAATACTCCAAATTCTGACAGATTTGTCGCGTGATGAGGAAGCGATGTACTGGCCATCTGTTGAAAACACAGCTGTTCCCACCGACTCAGTGTGGCCTTCGAATAACTGTATGCACATGCCAGTGTCAACCTCCCAGACTCTAACAGTATGGTCGCCCGAAGAGGATACGAGGAGGCTTCCATCAGGCGAAAAATCGACAGAATTGACACAGTCCTCGTGGCCTTCTAGGGTTTCCTTGCATTCACCCGTAGTGATATCCCATATCCTGGCGGTTCGGTCGCTTGAAGCAGACGCTAAATAGGTATCACTTGAAAAACATAGCCCATTGAGCATATCCTTGTGGCTTCCGAGTGTATGCATATACTCACCCGTGGTTGCGCTCCAGATCATGAGCGTCCAGTCGTCTGATATCGATGCTATGTATTTGCCATCACGGGAGAATGTTAACGAATCAACCCATTTATCATGAGCACTGATAACTCGCATATTTTTGCCAATAATACTCATATCCCAGACCTTGATCGTACGGTCCGAGGAGCCAGATATCAGACGCTGGTCGTCCGGGGAAAATGCCAGAGCGGTCACTGTCCAGCTATGACTCCGAAGAGTCTGTTCACATTTGCCATCACTGTTCCAGATCTTAATGGATGCATCGTTGGACGCAGATGCGAGGTACTTGCCATTGTGAGAGAATGCTACGGAATTGATCCAGTTGGTATGGCCTTGGAGTACTTTCACACAGGAGGATGTAGCAACATCCCAAATTCTCACAGTTTTGTCACTTGATCCCGAAGCAAGATATACGCTGTTTTGCTTGAAGGATATTGAATTAACCCAGTCGCTATGGCCCTTGAGTATTGTAATGCATCTACCATCATCGACATCCCATATTCTGATAGTTCGATCACTTGAGGCTGATGCAAGGTGACGTAGACCACTTTTGTGCGAGAGCGCTAGAGCGTTAACCCAATCAAGGTGGCCTTTAAGAGTTCGAACACACTCGCCCAAGGTAATATTCCAAATCCTGATAGTGCGGTCGCACGAGGCAGAAATAAGAAACTCCTTGTCATAAGAGAGAACAACCGATCTGACGTGATTCTCGTGGCCCCTGAGAGTCTGCAGACACTTTCCCGAATGGGCTCCCCAGAACCGAATAGTTTTGTCGTTTGAAGCGGAAACTAGCAGGTTATTGTCGTGTGAGAAAACTAAGGAGGTAACACAGTTACTATGGCCTTTGAGGGTTTTCTCCCATTTCCCGGATACCGCATCCCAGATTTTAATGGAATAATCGCTTGAGGCTGATGCAAGATGTTTATGGTCGTGGGAGAAAACCACCGATCTGATTGTATCATTGTGGGCTTCGAGTGTCTGGAGACACGCACTCCAGCTATCTTCCATTATGGGGTATGTTTTCATCCATTTTGGCTCTTCCATTCGAAATGACTCCTTAATAACACTCTTCGCAGGTATGAAGACGAGAGCTGAGGCATATGTTTGAAGCGGCGCATTCTCAATCAGCACCTGGTTGTATAGAACAAACCTTCGAGCATCTTGGACAAGCGTCAGAAAATTAGGGTTGGCACCCAGGTCCTAGAACGATTAGTTAATGATTCAAGTATGTTCAAGTATGCTGTGCTGACTGCTGTGAACAAATATTGTGTTAAGTTGATGACAACTTACCTCAAGTACTGCTTCGACCTTCTCTACGGCAATTATGCCTGCTCGCATCCGCCTCAATAGACTCAGAGATTCAAGCCAATAGAGAAAGAGCTTTCTAAGAAATTGGTAAACAATATTATCGCCTCGACTGAGGCAATCCCGGCATTTTTGTAGGTTCTTTGTGTAGGCTTCATGGAGATGGTGGGCCCAGTACACGCAAGAGTATCGGACAGCCTTCAGAGGATCTGGGTCAGGCTGTTCCATCTGATTGATGGCCAATCCGGGTCGAGATTGAGCATAGATGTCCCGTCTCAGCGTCCGCATCAAAGTCGTAAGTGACCGTAAAGAAACGTTATAGTGAACATCAGAGATTCCAGACGGCATAATTTCAGTGGAGGCATGAGTCTGTAGGTACTCCTTTGCAGATTGATGTACGAAATAGATAGTCTCTCGACGAGTGATCAGGAACGAACCGCAAAGCTTAATGATATCTTCGAGCCACTCAGTGTACCCTGAGATATCACCTTCGAGCTCAATTAGAGAAGGAAGCTCAGCAAATGTAATGGGCCGATGAGCAATCATTGCGATGGCGAGTATGCTTTTGCAGAAGTCAAGATCATTATCATCTAACTTCAGCATTTGGCCAAGCATAACTCCATACATATCCTGCAGCCCAGGGGGGAATTTATGCAATTCGGCGCGCGTATTCCACGGCTTGATACCCGACAGGCGCTGACACACCAGAGCTACCCAGAGGAACGTTTCGTTGGCGTTTTCTTTCAAATATTTCCGAACCTCCTCTTGCACTGCACGGCTGTATCCTTTGGCTCTTGAGAGTTGACCCACTTTATGATCGATATATGTGTTAACGGCGGTAGATATCAGCGCATCGTTTTGGTCGAGGCTGAGGTAGACTTTGTGTTCAAAAGGCCCTAATACCTCCTTGATATCGTATAGGTTGCGGCTGGAGACAATCCACTTGACACAATTGGATGGTGTCGATGATGTCTGGCATATAAGGTCTAGTAACTTTCGTAAATCTGTTTGACACTCGTCGAGCGCATCAACAATTAGGTATATTGGCTTCGTCGTCTGGATCGACAGCATGTTTCTGAAAACATTGGATAGGGCGAAGAAGTTCTCTGGGTCTGCGAAAAGCGTTCCGCCACTGAGACTATATCTTTCCTGCAAGTATTCGAGAAATGATCGGTGTTGGAGAGCAAGAAGGTAGATTAAGCCCCGGAGCATAGTAGTAGCGTTGTTAAGCTGCGAATCGCCTTCCTGGAAAAAGAAGAAAGATGGAGGAATATGCTTAACACCGGGGTTACTCAGGTGGTCAATGATGCCGCAGAGAAGCATAGTCTTCCCCTTGCCTGGACTACCGCTGATCCAGAACACGCCGCTGCCCTGGTCACTGCGCCATTTCTTAAAATCCCCAAAATCAACAATCCATTCGTATGATTTAGTCAGAAGGCCACCCTTTGTGTCCAGGATACGAGACTTGTCGTCGCGAGGGTCTGTCAACCGCAAGTCCTTGAGAAACTCGAGGTTTTCGCCCTTGTCTAGAGGTTGTCGCTGTCAACAAGGCTTCACGAAGGAGAGGTTTATAGTAGAGTGACTGAAGCGTATAAAGTAGTCCTCACCTATCCGGTTTTCGGTGATGTTAATTTGGTCGGCAACATACTGCCTGCCGGTGGAAGTATTATTGTATTGAGAGCCGTCGCCATCATTATTGTATTGGTTATCTTTTTTATCCTCAAGTCGCAAGGATTTGGCCGAGTTCGCTAGATCGTCACTCGGTCTCCTCTTCAGATCTATATCGAGGGTTGACATGTCTAGAAACTGCTCATCTCTGTTATTCCTTATGGGGGCTTCTTTGGGTGAGGAGTTAAGTCCATATCTCAGCTCAGACGAGGTTGCAAATGGTAAATCAAATCCGTGCTAGGTGAAATTTTGCGAGGCCCTACAATCAGGTGAGAGCATGTACTCAGTGAGTTAGCCTGTCAAACTATCAAACTACCCAGGTCTTGAAGAAACTACCCGGCCGGGTTGGGATGACCAATAACAACAGAACGCAGACGGGACGTTGGGCTCCGTTTGTTTTTGCACGGGTCATCGATGTGATTGTCGTAAGCGTAAACGGATTAGTGATGAGGCTGCAGCTGCAAGCGATAACTGTGAACCCATGCCCCAATAGGGACTGAGACACCTGATTCCGCGGGGGCTATGCCACGTCTCTAAGCCAGGGGGAGAGAGGGGAATATAAGGCCAAATAATATGCGAGTGTTAGATGAAAAGCTGGAAACAGTTCAGAATCCAAGCCCAACAACACCCTTATTCCGTCGACATACCCAAACATGAGATCCACCAAGTTCGATGACCTGATCTCAGGCACGATCGCCTCACTGGGAGCAGCAGCAGGGGCGTATGATATTATGAAGAATGACGTTGACCTCCCCGCAACTTTTCATAAGGGAGGGCAGCAGATCTGCCGTGTCCAGCAAGCACTCCAGGCGATCGTAAATATAATGAAGTGGCGGGATCTGGCGGGAGATATCATGCAAATTATTCCCTCGCTCGAAGACAGCAGCAAGAAAGCAAAAGCGCTAGAGGAGATACTCTCAGAGACCGCTTCTCAGCCTGAATCGTCCAGGAAGAATCAATATGTTACTGCTGTACGCAACAAGGGGCCCGAAAACACCATAGAGGCACTGCTTCTGGGAATGATGCGAAACACAGTTGTCCTGGCGGAGGACGAGGCCATCAAAGGGGCTGTTGAGGAGCAGGTTAGAGGATTGCATGGAGCAATGGAAGAACTATCAGCAATGGAGCCGTCTGTGCCTGTCGAGGCGGGAGAATCTCGTTTCTCCCACTTTGGTTCTGGTAGTCAGTTCAATAACGCAGGGTCGGGTAAACAGTTCAACAACACTGGTGGTGGTCGCCAGTACCAAGCCGAAGTCATGTACTTCAAGGACTAGTTAACCGCATGGGGGTTGTTGTATGAATTGAAATATGTGATTTTGACGAAAGGTTCGAAGTATTGTCTGCGCTTGATGTCTCCTATATATTCATTTTTGATTTGTTGTATGAAAGCGCAAGTTTTTTTGTAGGCAAGATATCTGCAGGTATGGAGGAATTCTCGTCCGAATCTGAGCCCTCTGTTGCTAGAATAACTCATACTCAGAATGTATCCTTAATGATAGGATGGGTTGCTGCCAGAGATGTCTTCAGCTGCGACATGCTGTGAAATGTACTGCATCGTGCTCAAACTGCAGACAACCTGGACACCACTATCTCGAGCGAACTCAATCTTGGCATCGCTGGCTGACGTGGCAGTGTGCAATATAGTCCCAGAGCACAGCCGCCAGTATATATATGAAGACTTCTAACTTGGTAGAGCAGACAATGTTTGTACGCCTATACTCCTGCTAGACTTAAGCTCTAGGTGGGCCTCATTCAACTTCTCTCCCTATTCTATCGCAGTCAACAATAAACATGTCGGGTATCGAGGTCATAGGGCTCATATCCAGTATTATCTCCATAGTCGACACAGCTGTTAAGATCCACAATGCTCTCAAAGACGCCGATCGCCTCCCACGGGCTTTTCAAGAGGTTGCATTAAGGCTCCCGGTCGTCACAGACACCCTCACGGCTGTCAAGGGCCACCTGGAAGAGAATGGCGTTGATGAAGCGACCTTCCGGGCCATCATGCCCGTCGTCCAAGCCTGCGGTGAAAATGCCGAAGCGCTGAAGGATATGCTGCAAGAAGTCACGGTGTCCCCCGATCACTCGAGGCTTCAGCGGTACCGTCTTGCCATACGCAGACTCGGCAAGGGGTCCCAGGTAGAGGAGCTCATGAAGGCGCTCTTGGAAAACGTCCAGTTGCTGGCAGGAAATCGAGCCATGCAATCTGCCACAGGCGCTCAAGTTGGCGAAGTGCTTGAAGCCATACATGCACTGTCGGAAGTGCCTCCATCAGCACCGGATACTCCTGGGTCCATGACCTTTTCTCACTACGGGACAGGCTCTCAATTCAACAACGCGGACAGCGGGACCCAGAACATCAACACAGGCAGCGGAAGGCAATATGTTGCCAACTCGATGACGTTTGGGGCGGATTGATAAGTGACTGCTGGGTTAAGGAAGGATTTGCATATATATATTTCATCAGAGAGTAGGCAATAATTCAGGGTATCATTTTAATATCGAACTTTCTTGTCGTCTGAAGCAACAAAATGATTTATCCAGTAACCTCCAATCAAAGATGTGTGCATGTTTGAAATTTTATGATTGGTGAGAATTGCTAACCGTAATTGGCTAAATATTGTTGTGTCTCTATCATCTTATTGACCAGACTCTGTGCTGTTATTGGTTAGAAGTAAGCTTATATAATTAGCGCCTTGGCAATTGTTTTCTATTCTTACTTTCTCCATCTCCAAGACGGACTTCAATGGACTTCACGGCCTCAAGAATCCAATACCTCCCACCGCCAGACACTGTACAGCGCGCAGCCATATTCTATACGAGAGAGGTCAAGATAGTGGCCTTAGGTTGTCAGCCACCCCCCGCGTCTTGCCATGGGAGACGGGTAAGAGGCGTTTAACACGGCTTACTAGTGCTCTTTGACCTGCGGGCAATTTCCAGAGGCTCGAGGATGTCCGTCCTGATGAGTACATAAGTATATACTTACGCAGGGTATACGACAAGATGTAGATCTGGACTGGGAGAAGGATATCTGACAAGGCCGGCTGGTGGTAGCATGACCACGGCCGTGGCGTCCTTTACGAGAGCTTCTCGATCATCCAGCGCGGGCCAGAGGAAGCTTCAGTAACTACGTTTTCTAGAGGACCACAGCCGCGGGGCTTGACGGACATGACGAGACCAAGGGCATGCCAACGTCGGTCAATGCCGATAAAGCAGCTCGATACTGACATTTGGCCCGGTGAAAATGTATAGTGGTGGGTGGGTGACCAGCAATATAGATGAAGAGAAAGATAACGTCCAGCCTGAGAGAGTTGAATCAGGCTGTGAACGTGCAGAAGCGACTGTTAAATTCGACAATTTCTCAGGCCCGACGACGGTCCCAGATAGTTACCCGACTTTGGCTCCAGACAGGAATCGCAGCCTTGCATTGCATATCGGCAAAAAGATCCTGTCGTCCTCCCAGCCGGACAGTACTGTAATGTGTGGCCTGGTCTGGGGAAGACAGTTTGGATCCCGCAGGAGCCAGAAGACTCAATTGTAAGCACGGCCTCACTCTTCAATTGCTGGGTGGAGAGCGCGATTCGAACTTCCAGTCTGCTCTGAAATCACCCCGTGTGCATACGTGCGATTTGGTAGGGGTCATTGGCTTTTGGCCTGATCCAACGAGCCTTGCGCTGGTTCATGAACGCCCTGTAGGTAGGGATGCAATGTTCCCAATGATCCAACTTGTCCAGTGATTCCAAACCCCGGCTCTCACGGAGTTATGGTGTCTGCTTCCCTGCTCCCAATAATCCCCCTTTTTCCCACCCAACAGTTTGCGGTCTTAGTTCAGGTATGAGCTGACACCACAAGATCAATCGCAGTTGGAAAGCGGTGGATACATTAACTAACTAGTTAGTTACCCCATACATACATAAAAAAATTAAAAACAGCAAAGTGCTTATGCGGCAGCCTCGGATTCAGCAGGGGCTGCAGATGCTGGACTCTGATATTCATAGTACATGCCAGAGTAGTATGAAACTGTCCACCACCCATGGCCGCTTTTGTTTCAGCTTCCAACAGATGATATCTGTCGCAACAATGACCTCTGAGCTATCACTGGCACAGAGCAGACTGGAGCAACTACCTGCGAACCCGTTGTGTCCTCGGCAGGTTAATATTAGCCATTATTGCCTGTGATATTGCATCACCTTTACTCGCCTGGTGGAATAAGCTAAAGAAGGTTGATCTAGAACGTCTCGGGACAACAGAAGAAAATAATGGGGCTTCTCAACGAGTTTAGTTACCTATATGTGCGGCACGATATTACGTTCTTCAGGAGGCGCCATCGTCAACTACATAACGAACTACTCCGCACACAGCATGCGAATAGCATCGTGTTGGATCGTCGCTGTCTACAAATGCGGGGATCAAATCAGAGGTCTGAAGCAAGCAGAACAGCGATCGACTATCAATCCATCACCACCATCATCACTTGCAGTAGGACGCTTCGGGGTTTACCAGGGCTCGTATCCCCTTGGCTGCCGTTCAAAGACGCACCATGACGGTCCCCACTCGTGTTTCCTCCCGCCCATCACCATCATCAGCATCTTCCCCAAGACCAGCTTCCCCAGCGCAGTGCAACCTTGCAGGGGGTGTTTTGATGCTATAATTATTCATACTCACTTTCCGGCCACGCCTTTGCTTACACGACCACGACGGGGCAGAGGGAGCTCGTCGTACCAGTACACTCACCTGGACCATGGGAGCATGATACAGACCTACCCTTGAAGCCCATCTAGGCTGGCCCTTTCTTTCTTTCTTTCGCCCAATTCCCATGTCTGGCATAGTGCATGTACGTATACATATGTAGATGCTTTTGGTCGCTCCGCTCGCTGTGTCCCCAAACTACAATTGCAAGGGATGCCGTCGTATCTCCAGATCGACCCGTCGAGGAGTGGAGGAGGATGAACGGGTACTTTTTTTGACTGTCGAATCACCCTTTTCTGAACCCTGCCACAAGAGGAAGACAGACTGACCAGGGTTCATCAGGATACAGACGGGTTCTGCTCACGCTGACTTACTTGCACTGCCATGTTTAACTTTCCAGGATGCGATCGGGCGCGGTGGAAGAGTGCTGAGTTGGTTAGTGGTATCCTTGCCTGCCAGGGGTAAGTAGTTTAGAAGTGGGAAAGTGAGAGGAATTCTTATCCACGCCATTTTCATATGGGCCAGGCGGCTGAGCGGGAGGTCCGTCCAACAGCAGATAGAGGGGGGAGGAGAAAAGCGAAGGGCCATGCGGTTCGTTATAATAGTTAATACCAACGACTCCGGGCCCCAACTGGCTACGTACTTATCTCGTTGTACTCCGTACCTGTAAAATAGTTGCTTCTGCCGGACCAATTGTTTGCTTCGGTTTCCATGTAGGTCCTTACAGGTGGAATGATAGGAGTACGTACGGAGTACCGTAGCGCGGGATTCGTTTCCTCGTCTGCATATGCGTGTGTGCGTCTCCGAGCGTATGTAGGATGGTAATAATAGTAAAAGGAATAAGAATAACAACTACGTGAGCCGCACTTTCTGCTCCCCGTTCTTCGTGGAGGTGCAGGGCAGATTGATCATTCATCTTCATCCGACTCGGCCTACTGGTTCAGCAGTGGAATGATCGAGCTGGTCTAAAGGAAGATGGTGGATCTTGGGCGTCCAACGGCCGATGTGCCTAGTCGGGGATACCAGCTGTGGGTGACGGACGTGGTTGTTGTGATTGTTGCTGGCATCTTCGTGGCTATCCGTCTGGTCTCGAGATATCTGAGGAGCGGAATCCAGGTCGACGACTGGACTATTCTGGCAGCTCTGGTATGTTGGCCTGTATTGTGTTTCTCCAGTGTCCTTCCTCTGCTAACATGCTGCAGGTGCTGTCGGTGCTGTTCTCGACAACGCAGAATGTCGGTATGTTGCGTTATAACCCGGCCTGGACGTCTATATCAAGGTGACTGACATGTCTGCAGCCGTTGGGTATGGATTCGGCAAACATGATTGGGATATAACCGACGAGCAGGAGAAGAAGTCCCTCAAGGTAAGCATCCATATCATCATCTTCTTCATCTTCTTCTTCAACAGCAGCCAGAATACAGCTCTTGCTAACGGGTCTGGTCTGGCAGTGGATTCTGGTCGCTCAAGTGTTATACAAGCTGGTGATTTGTCTGGCTAAGGTGTCCATCCTGCTGCTGTACTTGAGGATCTTCTACGTGCACCAGTACTTCAGGCGGATATGCATCTGCCTGGTCGTGTTCACTATCCTCTCGGGCATTGCCTTCATCCCGCCGACGATCTGGCAGTGCTCGCCCGTGGAGGCCTACTGGGACAGGTCGATTCCACACACCTGCCTGAGCAGCTTTCCCAACTGGCTCTCGTATGCGATAATCAACATATCGACAGATGTGATACTGCTGGTTCTGCCAGTGCAGCAGATTCTGCGTCTGCAGCTGACGAAGCGAGACAAGATTGCCTTGATACTGGTGTTCCTTCTAGGATCATTGTAAGTAGCCCGGTTGGCTGTTGATAGCCGTTGACAGAGCAAGACTGACCGGCAGACAGCGTGTGTATAACCAGCATCTACCGGGTGACTTTGGTCGCAACATCTTCCGGCACCACAGACGTGACATGTAGGTATTCCTGGCATGATTTTTAAAGGAGGATATTCGGCTAACAACTGGGGCAGGGGCGACGACGCCGATATCGAGCTGGAGCGCGGTGGAGGTCAACTCGGGCATCATCTGCGCCTGTCTACCGATGGCCCGGCAGACGCTCTCGCACGCCTTCTCATGCTGCCTGCCTCCGCAGACCACGAAGAACTCGTCCATCTCGCCATCGCAGGGCTACAACAACAACTCGGCGCACTTCTCTCGCGCCTCACGGGGCAGCAAACCGGTCTCTGGCTCTGGACTCAACCGCACCGGACACCCGTGGGAGTACCACCCACGCATCCACGACGGGGTGGTGCTGACGTCGATCCAGTCAGACAGACACCGGCACCTCCGTCGCTCGGACAGCGAGGAGGAGATGCTAGGACAGGATTGCTATCTGGGTAACGGCGGCGGGATAGTCAAGCGGACGGATGTGTCTATAATCGAGCACTCAAGGGCAGGCTAGCGGCCAGCTGCAGCAGCTCATAAGCTGTTATAATATGCTACTTGCACTTCTTTTCCGACAGAGCAGACCCAGACCCAGACCCAGATCCAGATCCAGAGGCAGACGGCTGCCTGCAAGATGTACGGAGTAACAGAACATCCTCCATTATTCATTCCCGGGCGGACGAGGGCGGATGAGGCGCGGGAGGATGCATCTTGACCCTGGGATGGGCTCACCCGGGGGGAACCAGCCAGATATAGGCCAACGCCCGGCCAGAACCAGCGAATATCGACGGAAACAGACCCAACAGCGGTCCGGGAGTGACCAACGGAGTCTCCAGGTCTCCATCCAGACGCGGAGGCGACGAAGCTGCTGGAGCCTGACAGCAATATCAGACAGCCATCCACATCCGCAGCCGCCCATCCCAGGTCGTATAAGCTGAGAGAATAGAGAGGAGGAGAGGTCAAAGGCCAAATGGGAGGTCGTAGGAGGACTGAGAGGGAGAAGCCGGCCTTCTCGACGCTGAGATAGACGTAATAGACCCTTTAATGACACCTGTATATTGAGTTGCTGTACAATATCATCGCCGTCTCTTGAGTGTGTCCCCCCCCCCTGAGCCGTAGAAATCGACTGCCTGCCCACCCGCAACCGCGATCCTGCGTCTTCCGCTGCCCCGAGTCGACCTGCAGCGGTCGTCTCTGCCGCCCCCGAGAGCGTCTCTGGCTTGATCTGGCCTGACGCTGGCTCGCGGTTCAGTCTTTGCTGCCGTTCCGTGGTTGACCTGGCCTGAACCGAACCGCCGTCTGCGTCTCGTCCCTGTCGGCCCCCAATAACCCCCAACGACGGCCAGCTTATTCACGATCCCTGCGTCGAAACGCTCATTCTGCTTTAATTCCTCTCCTTCGTCCTCGTCTTCGTCTGTCATTTTTGTCTTGTCTCCTGTCCCGTCGTGTCTCTCATTAAGTCTCGCCGTCTCCCACTTTCCAGCGTCGTCGTCGTCACCACCAGCATCACCGCCAACAGCAACATCACAACATCACAGCCTGCTGAGCCTCTTCGCCCCCAAAGAGCGCCCCGTCCGGCCTCACGCGCAGAGATAAAAGAAAGAAGACGGCCTGAAGCAAGAGAGGCTTCCCCCCCGGAGACAGCTGAGACGCCACAGAGGCCAGGCCCAGCGCCCGCCCGCCCCCAAAAGTGCTTTTGCTGCCGTCGTCGACTTTCCTTCCGCGTCTCTTCTCGTCCTCGTCCTCGTCCTCGTCCTCTTCTCTGACCATCATCCACCGACGAACGCCCGCCGATGCGACTCGCTGCCAGACACTCGACTCGACCGTGAAGCGAGGCCTCTGCCGTCAGCTCCCTTTCTGCCCTCTCCGTCGCTCTGCCTCGTCCCATCGTCTCGCTCGAGGTCCGCCGTCTTCCCCGGATCTGTCCTCCCGCCACCTCCAGGCGCGTCCGCCGGGAACCACCCAGCCGAAGAACATCCAGAGAACAAGCAGAAGAAGAAGCAGAAGAAGAAGAAGCGATACTAGATACTAGATTAATAAGTGATAGTGTGTTACTGTCTGGTCCGGCCGGTCTATGATGGCGCACTCGCAGTCTCAGTCGCAGTCCCAGGCGCCGCAGACCAGCGCGCAGGAGGCTTCAGCTACATCTACGCCATCCCCAGCGGCCTCTGGCCTGGTGAACAGCAGCACTGCTGCTCACTCTCCTCCCTCCAAGAGAGACCTGGCCAGCTGGTGGAGGCAGTTCAAGCGCAGCACAAAGAAGGACGCAGGTACGTCTGTTTCTGTTTCACTGGCTTCTCTTCTGCTCTCTATGTACAGCCTCTGTTAGTGTCTGTTAACTGACCTCTCTAGCGCTAGCCCCCCAAGCCCCCCCTTCTGGCATCTTTGGCATCCCCCTGAATGTGAGCATCAAGTACGCCAATGTGGCCATCTCTCTCACTGGCGATGATGGCAAGAGCTTCATCTACGGCTATGTGCCTATAGTAGTGGCAAAGTGCGGGGTCTTCTTGAAGGAGAAAGGTGAGATTGGCATCCGTTGCTTTTTCTTCCTACTCATCTTGATATTTTGATATCATTGCTTGATATGACCGTGATAATACCTATGATTGATATACTAACTGGGTGTAGCCACCGACGTCGAAGGCATCTTCCGGCTGAGCGGCTCTGCAAAGCGCATCAAGGACCTCCAGGAGATATTCAACTCCCCAGACCGCTTTGGAAAGGGACTCGACTGGACCGGCTACACCGTCCACGACGCCGCCAACATCCTGCGCCGCTACCTCAACCAGCTGCCAGAGCCCATTGTGCCCCTGGAGTTCTACGAGCGCTTCAGAGAGCCGCTGAGACATCGTCAGGGGCGTCCGGACGGGGAAGAGGCTGCCATCCAGGTCGACCAGGAACATGGTTTCGACAGGGAGGCTGCCGTCATTGCCTACCAGCAGCTCATCAAGGAGCTCCCGCCGCTCAACAGACAGCTGCTGCTCTACATCCTCGACCTCCTGACCGTCTTTGCCTCCAAGTCCGACCTCAACCGCATGACCGCCGCCAACTTGGCCGCCATCTTCCAGCCCGGAATGCTCTCTCACCCTTCCCACGACATGTCCCCCCAGGACTACAAGCTCAGCCAGGACGTGCTTGTCTTTTTGATTGAGAACCAAGACAACTTCCTGTTCGGCATGACGGGCACTGCAGCCGATGCCCAGACCGTCCAGAACATCCAGGGCGGCATGTACCCTCCTCCTCCCTTGCAGAAGACCACCATCAGACGCTCTGCCTCCAACGCCAGCGGAGGTGCAGACAGCCTCAGAAAGTACGAGGCCCTCCGACGGAACATGTCTGTCTCCTCGAGGAACTCCAATGGCAACGTTACCGGCCCCAGCACCCCCAATTCCAACTCAAAGGGCGGCGGACTGCAGCGTAGCAACACCGTGCCTTCAAAGAGAGCTCCTGGCTTCTCGCCTTCCAGCACATTCGCTCGACAGCAGGCTGCCACTCCGCCTGCAGCTGGTCTCTCTGCACCACCACCACAGCTCCAGATGACACCCGTTGTCAAGGGTTCCCCAGCACAGGACATCACCAAGGTAGCTGAGCATCCAGAACCGACTACTACTACTGCTACTACTGAACAGCCTGAAAATGGTGCTACTTCGACGGCTGAAGTTGCGGAGACAGCTCCCGCTACTGAAGCTGCTGCCCAGGTCTCCCTGCCTGTTCGGAACATTGAGGCTGCTCTCCCTGAAGAGCCTGCTAAGACTACAACTGAGCCTGCTCAAGCACAGCCCGTGGAATCTACCAAGTCTGACCACCCAGCCGAGCCAGCACGCGCTCCACAGCTTGCTGAACCATTTGAATTCACCAAACCACCCGAGCCAGCCCCCTCTCCAGCACCAGCTGCTGCACCAGCTTCGGCACCAGCTCCGGCTCCGGCTTCTACTCCTCCTGGTCCAGATTCTACAACACAGCCAGCTACGGCCGCCCAACCTGCTCCAGTCGAGCAATCCCAGCTCGCTCAATCTAGCTCTACAGCTCATCCTATCCCCAAAGCCCAACGGCCAAACCACATTGACGCACCTCCTCCACCTCAGCTGGACCCGGCAACACACAAGCCAACCACCATCACCCCGACCAGAGAACGCAAGCTAGCCTCTCTGTTCTCCTGGACCAGTCCCCCCAGCGGCGAGAGGAGAGACGCCAACAAGCTCAAGAAGAAAAGACGCATCCCCGGAAGCGCCAGTGAAAGCGCCCAAAGCTCAACCGCCTCCCTCCCCCATGGCTCCCAGGCCGGCTCTGACGAGGCAACTCCCACGAAACAACAGCAGCAGCCATCAACCTCTCAACCAGCAACTTCTTCCAACTCAGAAGACTCCACCGTCGCAGATGAATCCCACGTCTCTACCCCCAAAGTCTCCAATCCGCCTCTCTCCCCTCTCGTACCAGTGCGTAGCGCCTCTACGACTCAAAGCCACACCAGTCTGGAAGTCAACTCGCCTCCTCACCACCACACCTCTCTCACCGACCGCATGCTGAGACCCCGTTCTCGCACCCCGTCTCCAAACTCCCACTCCCTCTCCGCAAC